AATTCGAAGAACCTGTATTCAGTTAATCCATTTATAGCTCCCAACACTGCTGCCATAATGTCCGGTGGAGCGTAATTCCAGAGGGTATTTGTTCCAAATGCTACAAGGATGGTGCCTTTCGATGTTGGATCGTTGACGAACTCAACATACTCTCTTGGGAGCTCCTTTTGTTGCGGGCAGTGGAACCCAACTTCCACTAAACCCGTGCTCACTAAAAGAACCTTTCCAATATTTCAAATAAAATTTCAAACAAATTTAAGCTTCTAACCTGGTAAAGGATAAACCAGTGAGTCGATGTCGTCCAGGAAAAAAGAAGCCGACTGTGTTGCCAGTTTTGAAAAATCAAAGTTGTAGATGCCAATTTTGTGCAGTCCCTGAATTGATTTCGACTATGAACCGGAACTAGTATGCCATAAAGCTTTGTCAGGTAATTCGTTCAGATAACACTGCAATGTTGTGTTTACACATAGCAGTTGAACCCCCCAAATGACAGTGAATGAATGAGTTCGTGTGCTCAAGACATCCACATTGCAGCACTGAGCAAGTTGGTGAGCCAAGTGGCCCAACCTATGGTGGTCACTTCGCATTGTGCTTTCAACTCAACTTTATTCCGCAAAGTTACTATCAGTTACTATTCGCAACAGGCCGCCGTGGGCCAGCAAGGGTCTTAATGCCACTTTTCCGGAAGGTAGAAGTTTTTGGATACCGTCTTCGTTCACATCTCATCTTTTGTTGAACGTTTACCCTGTCCAAGTTGACACCATTTGGTTTTGGTCCAACAGCATGCAGATGCTGTCATACATGTATACTTTACACTGGGCGTTCTTATTTGCTCGTGGAAGACTACTGTGTTGCAACAACTCGAGTTCCATTTGACTTTTCCTCGAATCTAAGAAGCATTGAATGCGCATTTCCCTGCATGAGCTACACGGAACGTCTCCCTCTAGACAGGGTCAACCATACGTTGGACCAATTTCGAAAATTTTACCCCTTCTCCTTCTAGAGGGCCTCGATACGACCCCCTCCCCTCCTTGGGGCATGGGGGCGATTCTATAGTATTTCATTCTGAGACCAGTCGACACAGCCCAACTCCGCCCACTTTTCCCTCCAAAATTCGAACGAACGAACGTACGTGAAACGGCAAAATTTTCGCACTCAACCCAAAAGCCCAGCCTACAACCTAATCCACTCTCCGTTCCATAAAAAATCATCCCTTCCCTTACTGTAACATTGACGCTACGCTACCTCGCGAAATACGACCCCCTTTTCCACCCCCAAATACGACCCCCCACCCCCTCGTTGGACTTTGTCCAACAGACGGTTGGCCCTGCCTATAGATATGTCAGCAGTCGTATAGGCGCTAGCCCGCCGGAGCCATGTCCAGCAAGTACGGTGGGTGGGCCAGAACCACAGAGGCAATTTTTTTGTTGTCTCCTTACCCTCCTTCCCAAATTGGTAGTGAGTTCCCATGTAGCACACCATTTATAAGAAGCCACAATAATGCGCGATCCGCAGCAAGTTCACGCAACTGCAAGCAGTACCTGCCCACGTCAACAGTGGTGCTATCACTCATTCTGCTGGCGCTTTCCTACCAAACTAAGAATAGAGTTGATCCGAGTCTGAGTGTGAGTCAGGATAAGGGCTCTTTTTGTTGTCAGGGCTATGCATTCTCTAGTAAAGTTGCTGTAGCAAAATCATGGATAAAATTACCAAGAAAGGTAAACTCGAGTCCGATTCAGAAAGATCAAGGAAAAGAATATCGATATATAGTTGCTCAGCGGCTCCGTAATCTTTTTCGGGTGAATAAGAGCGCCTGTGTAAAGAATATTATACATACGTATGACAGCATCTGCATGCTGTTGGACCAAACCAAATGATGTCAACTGGACAGGGTAAAGGTCCAACAAAAGATGCGATGTAAGCGAAGACTATGTCCAAAAACTTACGCACACCATCGGATTCGGTAATGATAAAAATTATAACAAGTGTGATTAAACGAAAACAGTAGTAGTAGGAAAGCACAGTCATGGGTGAACTTTTCTTCACCATCAGTTCAGAATAATGCTCCCACTAAAGTGTACCAGTCATATGGTTGGTATACAAGCCTATTACTGCTCTAAATTCCTCTTGGAACCATTGTCAGCAGGTTTTTTTGCTCATCGCCTCCGGTCGTTGAACATTAAAATTTTCGCTCGGCCTCGTTCACGCCGTTTTCGCTGCTCCGCTGAAATCCTGATCTTCTGATATTCTGGACACCATTGCTTGTGGATGGTAGTAATATTTTCACCATGAGTATTGGTTCATGAATTTTGGTCAAGATCAAACCTGAACGGCTACAATTCCAGTGACATATTGTGTTCGTAATCCCTGATATGTTTCACGGAGTACAGAGTGCAAACGATTGGCGAAATGTTTGATATGGTAGGGAACTGCGATCCGATGATACATTGCTGGACGGAGAGCGAAAGGAGTTCCTGAAATCAGTTTGATATCGGGAGCTGTTTCGGTTTTGATTTTGCCCAGACTGGATTTTTTACTAGCCGGACATTACTGCACTTGGAACAGTCGTATTAGGACGCATATAATGTTGAAATTGGATCAGATTCTGCTGCTACACTGCCCTCTCAAACCTTAACACGTTGAAAGAGGATTTGAGAACATCGTTGCATAGATAGTAGTAGAGCGGTGTGTAATGCAGAACACAAGGCACATACAAAATTCCTCGAGTAAAAAAGGCTTGTCGCCCTTCTTGAGAGGCTCCAGTAGTTTGTTCCACTCCATTAGGTTCAGCCAAAATCCACATCCCCTGGGCCGTAACTTTTATATCGTCGTCCAGCAGCAAATGCCCTTAAAGCAGGGTTCCACGATAGGACGAAGGTGGTAGAAAAGGAAGCTCAGCTAGATGGAGATGCAGGCGGAACTCTCAAGGGTGGACAACGACTACCCTGACAAAATGCTCCCGGCGATCTAGCATGGCCTTCCCCGCCGCGCTAGTAGGGCAGTATCGGCGCGGTACGCCCCCCGCTCACTGTATAGCCTCTAACACTTTAGCAGAGCGTGTTAGTGTGAAGAAGGGCAGCAACCGATGAGCAGTTGCATGTCAAAGCAGCAATCGACTTGCGAGCAAGGGTACCATTTGGTCCGGTTTCTGGCCGTTTCTTCCCTGATTTCTCTTCTCTTTCTTCTTTCCGTGCCTCGTGAACCACCTCATGCTCTAATTTTCAATGGGCTCTGCCTATGATCGTAAATACCGCCTGGACAAAAGGAAATGGAATCAGAGCAGTTTTGTGATCAACAAGTCCTTGGCGAAAAATTGGGATTAGTAATACGCAAAAACTACATCAATAACTACAAATTGCCTTTTTTTGCAAAGACACCAGCGCGTCGCAAAAGAAAGATTTCGAACCACATTCGTTGACATCCAAACATGCTCAAGCACCTGAAATTTCCAGAAATGAAACATTCCGCTCACATTTTCACCACGGCGATATCCTGATGGTGAGGTGAACGATAAATGCCTGTAAGACACTAAAATAAATTCATCTAATTTCTTTTTCAATTTTTCCCAGGATCGTGGCCTCTAAAAGTTTTAGGGTCATCGGTTCCATGGGCAGAAGGGTAAACTAGGGTTCACTAGGATGTGCAGCAATTGCAACGCACAGCAATTTTATAATAAGTAAGTCGAATTTTTAGGGCGGAAGTGGTGTAGTGACAAGTGGCGCGCTCACCACGCGAGCGGTCCGGGGATCAAATCCTGGGTCGTGAGTCGCCCGGGCCAACCAAGCCTTCCATCCCTCCGGGGTCGGTTAATTGGTACCAGACTTGTCTGGGAGGATAAAAAACACTGACTTGTACATCGGCTGGCCCCCGCAAGTCATTGTATAGGCCACATCGCATTCAAACGCCACTACGAACAAATGGAAGTAGAATGCGTGCCGCATCCCAAAAAGGGATTGATCAACGGCAAATGCTTTATCCTTTTTATTTTAAAATTGGATACTCTTCGCCCAAATTCCGTCTGCTCCTCTTCTCAATCTGTCTTCAATATGGAGTCTTTCGTCACTAATACAACGATCAGGCAAACGGGAAAGCTTTCTGGGAGGCAAAGGTGTGCATCCTAACGCTCAGAGCCAAGTTCAAAGATTTTGCTGAGAATCTGTACTAGATTCCATGCGGGAGGGTCCTTAAGATGTCGGAATTAAAAATGATCAGAGTGGGCAACTCTGTCGTGCGTGGATGGAACAGCGACTTACTGCGCTTGACCCTTGATGACAAGTTCACCCCGAGCGTGTCCCTCGAGCTCGTTTTTAGCCAACTATGCACTTTTAAACGTGATCTCTGCTAATGATGCGAGATTGAGATGAGTCAAAGTTCCCCCGAAAGGAACAGTTCGAGCGAAAGAATCCACTAACTCCCTGCCAAAAAAAGGCAATTCTCAGATTAGCTTCATAAACGTACTAACCGCACTAGTTTACCTTGGCAGAAACACATGCTGCGGCTACTTAGAAACCAAAAGCCTGTGAATTCAACTGTTTTTTTACTCGCTGTTTTTATTTCATTTGCACAATAATCTCATCCACCCTGCTATGGTCGTTGATAGAGTGACAACGACAAACAAAGGAGAATTTTTATGCGCGAACGAAAATCTCAACGCCATTTTTCAAATGGCCTGAGTGTACAATCAGGACTGTTCACAATCACCTGATAGAGCAATCGTCGTTTTCAACTTATTTTCAATTTTCAATATTTATTAGTGCATCTGCAGGGGGTTACGGCTTTCGAAAGTGTAAAAACTCGCGCTTGTCATGAATTTTTTTCGTTGTTCACCTGAAATGGAGTATTCTCATAATGTTCTACAATTTACTGTAGAGTCGACTTTGTCTTCTTTGAAGAATGTTGCGGTTATTTAAACACGTGTTGAATTTTCAACGTGTTTCCCTAGTAGACAAGCTGTTTCATGTTCAATTCATGCACTGCAAGAGCAATTAGCACTCTTCAAAGCCCATCTGTGCGGTGAGAAGGGCTGTTGCTGATGAGGTTCGAGGGTCGCATCTCGCAAGGCTTTCTGCAAGGCAAGCCGCGCTTTCTGGAAATGGTTTCCTGCATATTGTAGGGGCGCATGTGTGGACCCCAAAACCGTGTTTCGTTTTCGCTGAACGGTTTTAGTAGTATCAAAAAAGTGGTGAATGATACCCTCAATGGTTCGGTCCCCCGCGCGGCTAAATTTGCAATCAGGTTGGCAAGCCATGTATTCGGCATCAAACTGTCCTGAACGATAAAAATGACATCTGATTAACACATTGCGGACCGCCGTTGTATGAGCACCTTCGTAGCTTTTTTATATTTTTCAAAAACGTATCATCATTAATCTATCAACAGTTTCACCAGTGATGACACGTATGGTTTCCAGGCTCTGAAAATGAGTGCAACCAGTTCATGAGCATTGAAAAATGTCAAATAAATCAGATTAAACTATGATGTTTCGAGTGAATCGAAATGCACCACCGGTACGCAATGTGTAAAATTTAGCGCGGTATGGCAGCCCCACCGTAGGCCGCCAAAACGCCTTATGCTTCTTTTTTGGTACTGCTAAAACCGTTCAGCGAAAATGAACATGGTTTTCGTGTACCCTGCATCAGTCCCTACGATATGCGAAGACCGTTTTGAAAAAGCGTGGCTTGCCCTGAAAGACCCCCTTGTCAGAGTTTTCCTCGACGCCTCTCAACCCAGGTAACACTGCGTTCAACTATACAGAAAGCGGGCAGCGGCTCCGGCCGGGACACTGGCACCGATATGAAGTGCTATCATTGATGCTTGCATAACTTCGTTACATTATGTATATTAGGTCGCAACGAAAGTCCTGGCGCATTTTTTCAAAGTCCTGACAAACGGCTGCGCATTAACCTGGAGGGGAAAATTTTTAACCATATACAGGAGTGGTGATATTCCTTCATATTCTCGAGTCTCACCTCCTGCACGCTTTTTGGAGCCTGGAAAATGCCATACGTTTCTACCCATGTACGCCACTGACTTCTTTGCGAATTTTGTCTGGGCCCACACAGCGAGCGAAGCCTGCCGCAAAATATGCTCTGTGGAAGTAGGGGGAGTGGTAAGTGAAAAACCTGCCAACTTTGGTTCAGAAGGCTCCGCGAAGGAAACTACAACCTCGAAGATGGACGCCCAACGAAAGTTAATTTCGAACGTTTGGAGCTGTTACTTCAAGACTTTCCGCATGCAAGCGCCATGGAGCTGGCAAAGGAGATGCAGTGCTTCAACATGGCCACAGGTCGTGTTCATCACATGCTGGAAAAAGTTGAGAAACTTGGTCGATTGATCCCTCATGAGCTGACAGAGCATTGCAAGGAAAAGAGGTATCGGGGTGTGCAGAGGTTTTCTTGCAAGAAGTCGCCGTTTCGACTGGTTGGATAATGTAATTACTGGAGATGAAAGGTGGGAGCTCTACGTCCGTCATGCCAGAGAAAGACAGTGGATGGGTGCGAATCAGAAGCCAGGTTCATCCCAAGAAAGTTCCTCTGTCAGTTTGGTGGAGTGTTCGGGGAACACGTCATTACGAGATGCCAGACAATACCACCGTCGACGCTGAGGTGTACTGCTCACAACCACGAAGGCTCGCGGCTGAATTCGCGAAACGTCGCCCGAAGCTGGACGAAGTCCCTCTTCTTCATGACAACGCGCGACCACATGCTGGAAGGGTAACCCAGGACACATTGGCGGAACTTGGATCTGCGGTTTTACCCCATCCTCCATATTCGCCAGGTCTTGCGCCTACGGATTACCACCCGCTCCTTTCCTGGCTCACTTCGCAAAGGGTAAAAAGTACGACAACTGTCAACAGTTGAAAGCGGACATGGGCACTTCTTCGACTCGAACCTGCCGAATTTTGAAGGTGGGGCACTTGTTCCCTTGTAGACCGATGGCGGCCTGTAGTAGGTACTTGTGGGAATTATTATTCGGAATAAAGTTCAATTCAAAGAAAAATATGAGCTTTTGAAATCGAGGGTCGAATCCGCCATTACTTTCGTTGCGACCTAATACATAACTTGATTATTCCGTCTGAACCTGATCATGCCATGCCTAAGGATACTCCTGATTTTTTTGGGAGCATGAATAGCCGCAAACGCTATCTCACGCGAGTGTCCTACAGCTATCCATTCAGTCTTATTTCCTGCTCGAGCGTGCCCACGCCACAGCCTCCCATTAGTGTTTGTCTACACTGTTACTGTTTTTAGGTCTTTAGTGATGGCATGTCCGATAACGATGCAACAGCGCGCGAGTGAAGATTGGAAGAGTAGCCCAAATTGTGGGCAACCGCCACCACAAATGTCGCTTCCGCCAGAGCACACCGTCCGCGTACTCATCATTGAGGACCGCTTCGAGGTTTCCACTTCACTCTCCAATATTGCCGGTCTCAGTTGGGGACAGCTTAG